TAAAACCACTCTAATTGTTTTACGAGATAGATGTACGTCTGTGCATGAGACCAAATGTCTGGTGTTTGGTCATCAGTGGACGAGCACTGCTAAGGCGACACATATTTAAACGGAACAGATACGTGTGCTTACTGATTTTCAATAGTTATTTAGTCACAATAAATCTGTGATGATGATCACGAAAAACCCTCTGTCTATGAATCCAAGTGTTGTGTTTCTATTCATTAGCTTTAGAGAAAAACATGAGGAGCGGCTGTAGTATACTGCCATTTGATGCACATTTTGATACTAAAGTTCAGCAGTGCAAATTCAAATCATTAAATCTCTTGAACTTCGTTTATCCAACTAGCCGTGAGAGTGAGTTCAAATATGAGAGATAGCAAACTAAATGCAAACTAAATCAGCAGATGACACGATTGTAATTACAGCGAATCAATAGAATAACATTTATGTTTATCAAATGGATTTGAAAGATTTGATTTCTTTTTGAGTTAGCCGTGAAGGAGAATTGTCATCATTTATCCCTTTCCTTCTAAGTGTTACGGTTGTTTTAGAAGATGTACGATGACAATGTATAAAACTCCTCCATAATTTAGTCTAGAAAAGCAAAATTGAAGTTCTTCATCAGAGATCAACTTTGGCTATGCAGCCAACAACAAACCAAAAAGTGTGTAATAACAGTGAGATCTTAATTCAGCAATTCATTAAACGAGTATACATCATTTACTATTCAATTTTCTTTGAAAATAAGATCAGTTGGGTCTTTTTTCCAATCAATTGACAATCAAATTTTAACATGATTGAGAAAATGGGTTCGATCTGTTGCATTTAGTTTTAATGAAATTATGTTGGTCTTTTGAAGTGATGTAGTAACAGAAATAGTACGTAATCGGTATATTTAACTATATAAGTATACGAATGTTGTCACAGTATGAAATCCTTGCGAATCAATGCTTAACCGCTTATATTCTCCTAAAATTTAGAATAATAAAACCACTTGTAACAAACTCAATGAAAACGTGAAAAACAAATGATTGAATGAACATCCGTTTTAAGAGAAGGCAGTGTATAAGAATCTAATGTTGGTGAAAGCTGTTTATTACGGAACAGAGTATAACATGATATCCGATCACTGAGAGTGGTAGTCACATAGAACTCGACCATCACTACAAGATTAGAGAAACATGACAGCGGTTACTTAAGAACGACCAATCAATGTTGATATCTTAATCCCATAAGAGAAAACCAGTAATCCGAATAGCCTCGATGAAGTATCTGACTCGGGCAATGGATAGAGTAAGTTTGAGTTGAATCATGTGTAAACATTTCGACAAAGATTTATGGGGAACTTTGCTGGTTAGTTCAAACCGAATAAATTTATGTAGATTTACAGCTTGTTGCTCGAGTCTTAAGCTTAATAACGTGTCATGTAGGAGAGCACTGAAATCCCTAAATACCATATTTTGATCAGTTCTCAATAGTCTTAAGCTTTCTTTATATGAATGGCTAGCCGATAACAGTTGACACTCATTCTGTGACTGACAATCTGGAACCTGGAACAAATGCACGTCAGATCCTAGTGTGAGCGTACAGACAGGAAATTACCAAGATATGTGTGTTAATAGGTTATTGTTTATAAATCTATTCGATTCGGAATAACGACTTATCCTTATCTAGTAAGTTACTGCCTCACTCCCAAATAGCTCAAAGACATAGGCTAAAATTCCCTACTAAAACGCTCACTCAAGCTGTTTGTAGGCTAATCACTACCTAAAATATGATGATTATTACTGTAAACCCAATTTATGCATCTTGCTCTCTTGATGAATTCGAAAAAAGCGAGGACAACAAACGATGTTTGGAATTATATAGACCCGTTTTACAGAGACAATTATCATCAGGCTATGTGGACCAGACGCTTATGCATCGAAATGACATATGATGTAATGCTTATCGACATAGTAAGATCACTTGAATGAAGTAACTTTCCTTTTTTAATCAAGTACTGATGTTTACACCACTATAGTGCTTGATTACATAACTACTTACTTCAAAGCAATGAAACAAGCTCACTGAGTTAATCAATCAAGCAAGCTATCACCGGAGGTTTGATCTCATTTGTAATTTTATTTTTATTATTATTATTATTATTATTATTATTATTATCTTTATTTTTATTACTTACTTAACCCTGTAACCAATGTTGATTCTAACTATTAAAACATTGGAAGGTGTAAAAACCTTTACATATCTGAGCAGTATCATTGATGAACACGGCGGATCTGATGCAGATATGAAGGTGCGGATCGGAAAAGCAAGAGCAGCATATCTACAACTGAAGAACATCTGAAACTCAAAACAACTGTCTGTAAGCCAACATCAAAGTCAGAATTTTCAATACAAGTGTCAAAACAGTTCTAGTGTATGGGGCGGAAACTTGCAGAACTACAAAAGCCATCATTCAGAAGATACAAGTGTTTATTAACAATTTTCTAAGCAAAATACTTCGGATCCGTTGGCCGAACAGTATCAGCAACAACCTACTATGGGAGAGAACAAACCAGATTCCAGCAGAGGAGGAAATGAGGAAGAAACGCTGAAAGTGAATAGTTAACACATTGAGGAAAACACCCGAGTGCGTGACAAGGCAAGCTATCACTTTGAATCCTCAAGGCCAAATATGAAGAGGTGAGGAAGACCAAAGAGAATGCTGGTCGGTGAACTATGCTCCATCAAGAGTAACAGATGTAAGTAAGTAAGTAAGTAAGCAAGTAAGTAGGTCAGTAAGTAATCTCATCATCTTATGACGTAATTTTAAAAGATTTATTTTCTTTGAATTTGATTTATTCATTAAAATATATAACTATAGAAAATGAAGAAAATTGATTGAAATGAATATTCTTCATTCATAAGATCAACATTTCAACCATAATGAAATATACTATAATAAACATTGAAATATCATTTATCATTCATAATGAGATGATAATAGATTATTATGAATAATTCTAATTATATCATTGCTCATCTCATTATATACTAATTACATCATAAAAATAGAAGAAAAAATAATAATAATAAAATGGAATTACATAATGATATTAGATTATTTGAAGGGGTAAGTGAAATATTTAGTTTCTAATGAATATGAATGAACTTGTACAAAGTTGTTTTTTTTCTTTTTTTCTATTCTTTTTGTTGTTGTTTTTAGTCTTTTGAAATTCCTCCTTTTAAATATTTTTAGACAATAATACAAATCGGTAATTATTGACACAGAAGTCTTTGACATTGATCCAACTAGTCAGTCATTAGACAAATTCTTTATTGTATCCATTCTGCACATTCTACAATATATCAAGGTTACAAATTTATGAAAGTAATCAATGATAAACATTAACCAAATATATAAGTACAAAATGATTATGGAAGTTAATGAGAATAAATTAACGTATGATTTCATATTTTATATTATATGGTTGATTATAAAGTAAAGAAAAGAACAGAAAAGACACTGTAAATTGGATGAAATTAATTTGAGGAATTATTGCGTATATCTACCATTGTATATCAAAATGTGTAACAAACAATCAGTAGAATGTCAGTACAAATGGTTGAAGAGATTTTTAATTGTGTCGAATTCATTAAATTTGGTAAGTGTTTTGTTATCATAAACATCATGCATAGTATTTAATTATTCTTTATTAATTTCAATGGTTGAGATCATGAGTCAGTTGAAGCTAGGCCACCATCGAAAACTTGGAAGCACTGGATGGCCATTTCGTCACATTGTGGAACTCCTCGGCAGTGCGCATCCACGATCGATGTTTGAACCTAGGACCTATCAGTCTCGTGCGCGAGTGCTTAACCACTATATCAATGAGACGGCCAGCATCCAACGATGTTAGTGTCTAATTTCAACTATTACACGAAATTGAGCGATACATTCACTATTACCATCAATGAGTAACTATCTCAGAACAGACCTGGTTGAACCCCACTGGCCAGTGCTTCTCACTAGAACTTTAATACTTTGTTTACTGTTTATTTCGATAATGCAATGAGAAGACAAAGTTTATCATAACTAAGTGATGATCTATTTGCTCAATACACTTCGAACAATCTGATCACACATGGTCAAATAAGATCACAGGATAGATAGACATTATCCTCCATTACGAAACAATTGATTGAGACTGGTCATAAGGTTAACATCAAATCATCTTTTGCAGTGTTGTACAAAAGCCTTCAAGGAGGTTTACTAGGGTTCATTGAAGCCTTCACTATACGGAAACTGAAATCCTCTTTATACAGTCAAAAGCAACTTGTCCTTAACACTTACCTTAGTAATACTGATTTATTATCCAAAGTGGTAATCACATTTGTCTTTTTTTTGTGTACTTCAATATTTTTTCCTTTGTTGTTATGACTTACCCTTAACCTGTCTAGTTGATCTTTTAATTTTCACATTAAAATGTCTTAACAAGTACATTATGTGTGATCAATTTTTTCGAAATGTATTACGTCTTCTTATTGCATAACTGAAATTTATCAAAGGGACTAATTGTTTTAAATACTATTTATTTGTTTGTTTTTTTTCTTCAGGTATTTGGTACAGGTTTAATTGTTATGGGCAGTTATGTACATCTATTTCTAAGTACATTTTTACGTAATATGCCAGTTCATATGTTATCATTAACATTTATTATGATGGCACTTGGATGTCTTCTATTCTCACTTGGTAGTATTGGTATATTATTCGTTTTAACTGGACGTCGAAGAATTAATGCACTTGTAAAGTTGAATGCTGTTGTGAACTAATACTGATTTTGTTATTTATTTATGATTACAGTATACAGTATTGTTGATATTGGCTGCATCAATCAGTATCATTGTTATTGTAACGACATCCATTTTGCGTAAAAAGGTAATTGTTTTAATCATGTAAATGTTTCATACTCATATTATAAACATTTATTTAATATGGTTTGTTCAATATTTAGATGGGTATGATGTTTCGAGATATCATCAAAGATTCTATCAACCAATATACTAGGAAAAATAGTTATGCAGCATTTGTGAATACAATACAATTACAGGTAAATTACACTTGAAAAGAAACTGTTTTGTAATTCATGTGTTTTTCAAAAGCATAAATGTTGTGGTGCAAATTCAGTCATGGATTATACTGTGAATAATCTCTCAATACCAGTTTCATGTTATCCTGACAAAGCCATAATACCGCATAAAAATGTAAGTGATGATTAACAGTTTTGTGATTCAGATTTCAGATTTGTGTAGTAAGGACAGAAGGCTTACGGCCTATGTTATTCCTTTTCTAGTATGTTTCTGTGAGTGCCCAGTCTTTTCTTCAGAGTGCCGATTGAAGGTGCGGACACCACTTCTTTGGGCAGCAAGTTCCAAGTATTGATGACTTTTAAACATGATCTTGCAGCATGAACGCAGTCCTCAAGCTTACTTCTCACTAAGGTTGTGCATACTGTGGTGAACATGGTAAGATCTAACTTAGTGAATATCAGTTTTAAAGCCCAGAGGGTTCGAAACGCCTTAGCAATGGGCTGTCGTCTTAAGATCATGATTCATTGTCACCCCAAGATCCTTATGAGACCGGACAACGGGTAATGGCACTTCCCCTATACTATACCTATTAACCCTTGAATCCCGAAAGTGCATGTAGACACACTTTGCCCTGTTGATAGACATCAGCCACTCTTCAGACCAGTTAATCATAATATTTAAGTCTACCTGAAGAGTAAATGCGTCTTTGTCTCCAGTTTTTACTCGCCAGCTCTTTACATCGTCAGTGTATAATAACATTGGAGACTGTACTATACTTGGAAAATCATTAACATACATTATAAAAAGTAAAGAACCTAGGATGGAACCTTGAGGTAATCCTTTAAGTACTGGTCTCCAGATGGAGCATTTGGAATTTATTCTTACTTTCTGTCAACAACCTATTAGGAAATCCCTAATCCATTTTAAAAGAGGTCCGGTAATATCAAGGTTTTCCAACTTCAGTAGTAGTCTATTAGTTGGCACCTTGTCAAAAGCCCTATTGAAGTCTATGTAGACAACATTCACTGAGTTTCCGTTGTCTAGCGCATTTATCCAAAACTCCCTTGCTATGAGGAGGTTCGTTGTACAAGACAGACCCTTTCTAAAACCATGTTGTTCTATGTTAAGCAAGTCATTGGTTTCCATAAATGTCATTATGGTCCGTTTGGCTATTCCAATATTTCAAATACAACACTGGTAAGGCTTACAGGTCTGTAATTCGATGGAACTTGTCGTGGACCTGTTTTATGTATTGGAGTGACGATTGCGTCCTTCCAGTCCATAGGTAACACACCTTAGTCAAGTGAAATATTGAATATCACAGTTAGCGGGGCCGCGATATATTGTGCAGTATATCTCAAGATTTTGAGGTGTAGTTCATCTGGTCGCGTTGACTTTTCCATGTGTAGGTCGCTAAGAGCCTAAAGCACATCGTCTTGATCGGAGTCCAAGGTGAGCAGGTGGTTTGTTGACTACTTACTTTGGCTTGGTTCTTTGTCTAGAGGAGGTTCCTGAGTGAATAATGCACCAAAATAGTCAGCCATAGCCTCTACTTTTTTCTGATCTCCCTCTATCATTTTAGATCCACTCCCTTCTTTAATTAGGTTGGGAATCCAATGATGCATCCTTGTTCTGTAGTTTATGAACGAGAATATTCTCTTGGGCTGCTCGAGTGCATATTGTGACAACTGCATTTCACATTTTCTTTGAGCTTCCTGAATTTTCGTTATACGAATGTTTCTTACCAATCTGTAGAGTTCCATCGTACATGCTGTGCCAAGGCAAATGGCAACATCGCATCATCTCTTCTTTTGTCTTAGTAAGCGTCGAATATCCCGCCCTATCCAGGGTTGTACGTGCTTCTTTTTCTTTGGGACAGTCCAGGGTATGTACGGTTGGGTTACACCATTGTATAACTGCCTGAAAAGAGTCCATAGCCTCCTGAATTAGTAATTTCTTATTTGTACAGCAAAACCTACAAAGCCAATGCGAGTTAGGCTTCGAGCATCTTTTGTATGCCTTAGGACTTAGACGTGTACACATCTTATGGTACCACTTTTTACATTAATCGCACTGCATTCCTTCCTAAACGGAAAACAAGCAGTTTGGTTATCCACATTTATATGTCTTACCAACCATTCTAATTTGATTAAAAATGTAATTCAGAAATACGATTTTATACTCATTGGAATATCACAAATAGTGTACTAATTATCAAATTTCTAATCAATACTCAATTTATTTGAAATTATCAAGTGCAATCTTGGGAGTAGACTATTATAATTAGATTGAGATGGATTTCATTTCAACTTGGAAAAATTCTTCTAACTTGAACTAGTGATGTGAAAACCGAAAGTCATGACAGGATTAGAACTAAAACGAAATGACTGGAGGTACGAAATGAAGATGAGCACTTCTGTCGAATGCTTTATTTGTGCATCCAAATCTGAAAGACCTCTTCCTAACAGACACATTCAGTGATACATAAGTTTACATGCATTGTTATTGGTAAACGGAATGTATGTCGAAATAAGGCACAAAGAAGTGTAAGATGAAAAGGGTGTGAAAATCAGGAAAATGACACCCTAATTGGTTTAAATGGAAAGATACCTGACAACAATCACTCATTCCTAACAATAAAACTTTGTCGAAACACGTATCTAAATATTGATGGAGATGTGTTGGATGGTGTGAACCCTTTAGAATTGTCTCCTTAGATGTGTCCATTCGATTTGTTAGACTTTACATACTCACTATTAAATTCTATGAAAGTGTTAATCAGCTAAGGAGTATATGTATGTATATATGTAATTTTGACATTTTTCCTTTACTCAGGGTTGTGCGAAAATGCTTAACGCGATCGTCCAATGTCATTTAACTTACATCACTTCATTACTGGTCGTGTTTTTACCGATGGACATAGCCTCGATGGTTTGTGGTATACTTATGCTACACAAAGTGAAATTTGTCCCATGGAAAACAAGATTTGCTCACTGTTGATAGCTTCAATAATATCGTTTAATTGATAATTTGACATTTATACTATTGTAATGAAAGAACAATGGGAATGTAACACTGTTTGACCATCTTCGATGTAACTTTGAAACACTGTCCGTTGATTTTGTCGATATTATTTTACATTTGTGGCAACTCTTCTACAATCAAATTCGATTGTGGTTAAATTTTTTTAAGCGCTTTCATTAGCTTAACTAACAGACAATGTTATTCGAACAGTAACAATTCGTTTATTTTTTTGTACTATTATGATCAGTATCTTGTCTATATAAACGAGTGCCGTTGTTCACATGATAGCCATGAATACTTTTCTGGCTAAAATGTTGATGGCTCAAATATCGCTCGATGAATCATTCTCTTCCTCATGTCCTCAAATCCTATTATTAGCCTTTGACTTGCCTAGCTGGGCCTTATTCAGTTTGACTATAAATTTGCGGCCCATGGATCTGACTCCAATTTGATCGTATAATGGCCTTTGAATACATATATTTCGTATGTAAAGTGAATGTAACAGAACAGAGCAAAATGATACGCAGGGAAGATGGCTGGGAAGCCAAATCCATTTTAGTCAAGAGTTACTCCATATTTATAGTCAGACAAAATAAAGCTACAGACATGTGATTAATGCGATAAGAAGGGCACACACATATACGCTCATATAAAAACAGTCAAGACTGATAAGCGAATAATTGACAAGGTCAAAATATGACTCAAGTAGAATGAATAAAATGGGATATCCGAAAGCTAGAATAAGGTATATGGGCTTGGCATAATAAATGACACTACAAATTCACCTCTGTATTTGCTCGAATACACACATTCGCCTTTCTGCTTTAAACTCACTCGATGTGCTTGTAGCTTTGTGGTCTGTGCTATCCGCTAATAAACAATATTCGCCGCTTCTTATTTCCTTCTGACTTCAGACACTGTTGACATTTACACAATAACGGTTATCAAGGTGATTGATTAACGAAGATATGCGTCTTCATATTCTTCATATTCCGGTATTCATTAGAAATTCGTCTAGGAAAAAACCATAAACAGATCCAGCGTTTTTATAAATTTGGAATTCTCTTTGATCTTCATGTAATATAGCTGATCAGATGGTGTTATTATCATTCTATTTGATACAATGATTGAAGATATTTGGAGTATGTCATACACTTTCCTACGTATCAGCACTTTCATCTATGTCCGACTGTTTTTTCAATGGTTTTCTGTACAGTAAGAGTAAATAGAAAATGATTATTATTTCTGTTATTAATTAAAAGATGCAGGAATTATGGCCACACTACCTAGCCTTATTTTGTCTTGGATTTCTGTATGCAACTCATTAGAAATCCTGAAATTTGGTTCATTAGTTCCAGTATAAGGGTTGTATCACTTTGAGTAAATGATTTTTTTTCATTCTCTTTCAAACAATAGAAAATGATCACTCAATTGATGTTAGAAGATGAAACACATTTGTCCAAACCCTCTTACTCTCTCTTCATATTTGCACTATTAATAACTAAATAAATGACAAACGCAGTATTTACAATACCGTATTGATGGCACTTATGTCTATTATCACCGTCTTGTTTACACTTACATTTCATAACACAATAATAATACCATCTATTTTCCAGTGATTTGTGAAAATTCATAATTAATGTCATTTACTCATAAACATTCAGTAATATATCGTTTTATTAACCAATTTCATTTTGCTCAGTTAAATGTTTTTGGATTCTATATTAGTGAATGATTTCTATTAATTTCTGGTGTTATAATGTATCATTATTTCAAACAACGTTGAAAGACTTCATCTGGCTGATGTACTAGTAACCCGTTCAGTTTTTTGTTTTGATCGTATATAGTTATAATAAATTAGAATGAGACAATAGTTTAGCGTTAAATAGTTCCCGATGCCTTCCAGATGATATCAGCTCATAGAGATTATCTTCAAAAATATTTTGAATAGAACTCAGCTATTGATATGTTGAAGTTTGAGAAGATAGGTACATGGTTCAAATCTTAATGCGAGTATCGACATTAAGATACAGGTACATCTAGTTGATAAACCTCTAATCGATCAAAGTGTAGGCCATGCATTTCACTGCTAGCTACAATCCAATCATACTGTTACAATGTATTACGTTCTTATGTTCTAAACTCAAAGAGCAACTAATTAAGAAAATGTAAAAGCATAAGAATACAGAAAATTGTCTGTAAGATAAAATATGTGTTTCATTGTAAAATCCTATGATAAGTTTTAGCTCCACAAGTTCCAAATAGTTTAAATCATTATTGATTCCATTACTACTTACAGTTCAATAATACTGAAGGAGCATCAGACAATATTCATATTGTTTCCTTCTCATATGGACTGTATGAGGAAGTGGTTAGGATAATTAAGCGAACACCAAATATAAATTTTTATGTGTCAATAAAACCAGTATAATTATCAAAAACCTATAAAGGTGTTTGTTGTAGAGAGCCGCTTAAGATGTTAATTTGAACAATGAATTCACTACTATTAAATGAACAAGGTACTTTCATATTTTGTTAATAATCACGAGGTTTTGAACAATAAAAATAAGATATTTGCTTGATGTTTAAACATGCACTATTTAGAAAGTTTGTAACTTAGTGAACATTTTTAAACTCTTCAATTTACTCGTCCTGATTGCTCTCAATTAAATTTATACTTTGAAATAAAGTAGAAAGTGTTCGAAATGACGAGCATAATAAATCCGATGAACCAAACGATTCGACGAAATTAGATCACTAATGGAACAATAGAATAAGCACAGACCACTCAGTAAATGAATGAGAATGAATGTATTTGAGGTGGTGATAGTCTCTTAACAAACGATCATTGAATCTGAATATACAATAACTGAGAAGATTTACATTTAGCATCTAACACTTAGAAGGAGTCAGAGATGGTGAGCGCGGAAGACTTAGTCGATATGGCATGGCTTGGCCATGCAGGTGTGGTCACTCTATGTAACTTTTCACCTTTCATATTCAATATGTTATCCCACCCTTAGTTCAAACGTCTTCTTCAGAAGTATTAAACATCAAACTGCTGACTGTCATGATTGAACAGGCTAATTTAAATAATTATGTGACTTTTGCTTAAAGTCTGATAGATTAGTTAGTCACACAGTTGTGGAATAAGTCTATTATTTTGATAGTCAAGATAAATACACTTAATATCGACCTAAACAACAATTCTGCACATTTAACGCAGATACTATTGGTTCACACACCTTTAAAAAATATATATTAATGGAACTTGCAAATGAATGTTCTCAGATGTGTGTATGAAACATGGATACAACAAAATAGGATATTCTCTAAGGATTTCGGCTGAAGACATACAAGTGGAAAGAACATGGTAAGAATGAAAATATAGGATTATGGTTCTGTCCGGTATCAGTATATTCATTTTTATTACTATTATAACTGACCTAATGTGGTGTTTGAATGAACTGATGATACCTTTGTATTTGTTGAATACTTGATTTCGAATTCTAAATACAGTACATTCGTTTGTGCTTATCTAGTACTTCTTGATTCAATTGTGTTATTTCTGGGACTCTTAGTTCGTACTATAGTTCAAATAATTCAAAACATCAAATTGGCGTCGCGAGCAGGATCCTGTGATGGAAAGGTTGGATATACATTCAGATTTTGATGCTTTTGAGGAATACTTGGAAAGGTTCGAAATCTGGGATACGACCAAGGAAGATGATGATGATGTTAATATTGTAGCACATTTCTTCACATTCATCGGTAAAGAAGCATATGGCCTATTAAAAACTCTGGCTTTACCAGAAAAGCCCATTTCGCTTTCTTATACAACTCTTAAAAATTTACTGCTAGACTATGTTAATTATACAAATTTCGAATGCGGTAAAGGAGGGAGATTTCGTAAAATGATTCATGAGGATATAAAAAATTCCACTACATTAACACGTCATTCCAACCCATTGCATACTCAGGGTTATGCAGATAATTCATTGAGTTTGGATGCAATTCACGAGGATGAGCCCAAGGTTGTTCAATGATTGTCCTGTGGCAAGTTCCGCTCTGTTAATTCATGTGAATTTCGTAATTCTAAGTGCTTTAAATGTGGTGATATTGGACATATTCAGTCAGTCTGTAATACTACTGTTCATCTTATTGCAACTAATATTAAGTATGGTAATTCTCATTCTACTGAGTCGAGTATTCATAATGATCATTTATCTTTATCAACGATTGTAAAAGACAGTGTACAGTCATATCGCAACTACGTCTGTAACTCTTCTAGAGTTACTGCCGGTCCCAAGTCCTGGTAAAGGAGGAGTGTTGGGCATGGGTTAGCGACCCCATCCCGTAGAAAACTAACTCACTAAATAACGCTTACCAGAAAAAATAATTCAAACCATTTAAACTCTGTCCTGGGAGTTAGAAGGTTTTCATTTAGAAGAATTATGACGCTTCATGGTGACTGCCGAGTTCCTTCGGAAGCCATGAGGCCGATGCCCCTTCTCACAACCAGAGCAAAAATTTTTATATGTACATGCAACGTCCGAACAATGTGGGAGACCTGGAAGACCAGTCAAACAGCAACGGAAATGAGGAGATACAAATTGGCAGTACTAGGAATCAGCGAAACCCATTCGATCTAAGCTGGACAACAAAGACTAAATACGGGAGAGATGCTGCTATACTCTGCTCACGAGGTAGAAAATGTTCCACACACTCAGAGAGTTGCTCTGACGCTGTCCAAAGTAGTACGAAGTGCACTTGTAGAATGGGAATCTCACGGATCCAGAATCATCAAAGCATTATTCAAAACAAAAAAGGGGATTTTGATGAATATTATCCAATAATATGCACCAACAAATGATAGCAACGACGACATTACAGATCAATTCTATGAGCGGCTGCAATCAGTCGTAGAGAAGTGCCCAAGAAAGGACCTCACCATTCTAATGGGAGATCTCAAT